CTTCTTAAATGAAAACATAATTGTTTTAGTTCTTGTTCATAAGAACATTTTGAAATAATCAATGTTTGTTCTCGACCAGTACATGAATCATGTTTATATTCCATTGATAACATTGGAAATTTACTTAATGTATGCCGAAGACAATGATCTGATTCCAAGTTTTCGGATAAATCATAAATTAAAGTCGAATTTTTTGAATCAATTAAAAACATTTGTAATTTTGAACACGATTGACACGAACAAATCAACAATGCTTCATTCATTGAAATAACATTAAATGATGAAGTTAACGATGTTGAACAATAATAATTCAACATATTTAAACAAAATTCATAAATTAAAATAAAAGCCAATGGTAAAATTCGATTTTTTTTCTCTCGATAAATGTTAATTATCATTGGAATTAAATGAATTTTGAAACATTTTTCAATAATTTCCTTATCTGATGAATTTTTTCTTACTCGTTTGATAATATTATAAGCAACACTCATTAAACAATCATTTGAATATGATTCATCAAGAACTAATAAATAAAATATTGAACAAAGTGTTGATAATAAAATATGTCTTGAAAATGCTCGTGGTTTGAAGATAAAACGAATTAATATATTGATAAATAAACAACGAAGAGTTTTGTTTGAAAGTTTGAGCAAAAATTTAACAATTTCATTCAGTTTTAATGGCATGAATAAACTGATTGCTTTACGAAATAAATTAAGAAATTCGAATGAGAATAAAGATAAATCGGAAAAAGTTTCAATAAAACGATTTAAATTCGAATTGAAAAATAATTCTTCTTTGAATTGTTTATTTTGAAAGAGAAATTTTATTGATTGAATTAAACGTTTTGTCAAACCAATTCGTTTACGAAGAAGAATTAGATATTGAAGAAGCTTATCAAAGGAAGATATTCGATTATGAAGAAGAGAATCGAAGAGATCAAGAGATAAATTGTTGATGATTGGTATTGGTAATGATAGCATGTACGATAAATGATGATAGCCGAGTGAAAGATCATCGAGAATGAGATTCCATTGATGTTGATATGGAACGAGAACGAGAACATGAAAGGTTTTACCATCGTGGAATGTTGGATCAGCTAATGACAAGAAAAATTAAGGTGGATTATTGTGTTTCGAGTCTGAAGGGAGGGGACGAGGAATTTAAGAGAAAATCTTTTTTCTTTTGAAAAATGAAAAAAATTATTATTCCGAAAGATAGAGGAAAGAATGCTGAACATAATGATATGTTGGAAGTAAAAAATTTTTCTTTTCTATAAAATGAACTTACTACTATGAAAAAATTGTCTTATTGCAATACTTTCTTCAACTGCATCGATATAAGCATCGAGTTCACCGAAAAATTCATTTATTAAAACTGTTCGTTGATGTTCTGAATTTAAATCAATCGTTATTTTATTTGTTGAATTTAATAATTTCATATTTCGAATGAAAAATTTCGAATCCGACGAACTTTTTATTTGAAAAGTCGCCGAATACATTAGAAATGTTGAAAAATATTTTAATGCAGATATAATTAATTCAAATATTATTCGATATTTATCACGAAATAAATGAGAAAAATATGATGAATCATCCAATGAATGTTGAAGTGGAATAATTAATTTAGTTGGCATTTTGTTAAGATTTTTTTCCCAAAAAGAAAATATTTGTTGAATTCGTTGTGTTTCGAAAATTGTTTTGAGATTTGTTGAATAAGAATTTGTTTTCCAAATAAGAGAGTAAAGTTCGTGAATTGATCTAAAACAAAATGTTTTTACATAAGTGATCCATATTGAAAATTTTATTTTCTCTTACTTTGATTTTGCTACAAGATGATAGACCAATAAAACTTTAAATCCTTTTTCAATTGGTT